TGAGTCATTATATAATGACATAATATTCACAAATATTTTCAATATTTTTTGTTATCTTTTTTATCCTTTTGCCAATGCCATACTATCTTGTAAGTCTTGAAGGCAGGTAATGCAAATCCTCCAACTTTTGTCTTCTTCTTTGTGTGTGTGTGTGTGTGTGTGTGTGTGTGTGTGTGTGTTCTTGTTTTTTTGCCTTTCAAATAAAATTTAAAGTTATTTTCTTAGTTTCTAGAAACAAGCCTGCTAGGTCTGGTCTTGTCTCTTTTCTCTCTTCTTTCTTTCTTTCTTTCTTTCTTTCTTTCTTTCTTTCTTTCTTTCTTTCTTTCTTTCTGTTTATTTACTTTTGAGTGACAGAGAGAGAGTATGAGCAGGGGAAGGGCAGAGAGAAGGACACAGACTCTGAAGCAGGCTCCAGGGTCTGAGCTGTCAGCACAGAGCCTGATGCAAGGCTGGAACTCACTGGCTGGGAGATCATGACCTGAGCCGAAGTTGGACACTTAACCGACTGAGCCACCCGGGTGCCCCACCCCCCACCCCCTTTTTTAATGTTTATTTACTTATTTTGAGAGAGAGACAGAGGGTGTCAACAGAGGAGGGACAGAGAGTCACCCAAAGCACGCTCCAGGCCCCGATGCAGGGCTTGAATCCACAAACCATGAGATCATGACCTGAGCTGAAGTCAGACACTCACCCAACTGAGCCACCTGGCCTCCCATCTTTTCTTTTCTTTTGATTGTACTGACTGTATAGATTAATTTCAGGAGAATTAACGTCTTACTAGTAGTTACTTGATCCATGGGCATGGTATAGCTCTCCACTTGTTTAGGCTTTTAATTTCTTACATCAATATTTGGTAATTTAAATGTACAAGTTTTATATATCTTTTGGTAAATATATTTCTAAATATTTCTTGTGTTTTGCTGTTATTGATGTTTTTTAAATGCAGATTTCTGATTGTTTTTTGTTAGTACTAATATATATACTAGTATAGTACTATACTAGTAACCTTAGAAACTTCATACATGAGAAAAAATGCCTTGGCTTGATATATTATGTTAAAAATTCCATTAATCTTGTGGACATGTCTTTGTGGTGTGCTTTATTATCTGTAGGAGTGTTACTCTCTTCTGTTTTCTTATTAAAACTTTGTATGGGAATTGACCAGAATCCTCTTTAGGCATCATTTCTTCAAATGTTTTTTCTTGCCTCTCATTCGCACCTCCTCCCTTTCTGAGATTCCAGTTTTCTGTTAATTTGTATTTAACAAATACAAATACAACTGAGGGATCTTTTCCTGTGCCATTTTTATGAGGGTTGGGCAGGCTAGCTTTCCTGGGTTTATGGCTTTAGGACTTGTCTTCTGTTGTTATGTAATTGCCAGAAATATATTTTAGACCTTTCTCTCCTTTTTTTTTTTTTTTAAATTTTTTTTTTCAACATTTATTTTTTTGGGACAAGAGACAGAGTCATGAGGGGAGGGCAGAGAGAGGGAGACAGAAGATGAAATCAGCGTCAGGCTCTGAGCCATCAGCACAGAGCTCTGGCCTTGGAGACTCAACTCAGGCTCGACCATTGATCCGGGACTCTAGCTGAAGTGGGCATTTAACCGACTGCACCATCCAGGCGCCCCTTCTCTCCTTTTATATAGAGTAGGATTTTTCACCCTCTGCAATATTGGCATTTTTGAGTTAGATGACCTTTGCTGTGAGGGATCAACCTATTCAGGGTAAGATGTTTAGTGGCATTCTGGCCTCTATCTATTAGATACCAGTGATGAACCAATGGCACCTCTCTTCCCCCCAGTTATGGTAACTAAAAATGTTGCTAGGCATTGTCAAATGTCCCCATGGAGTCAGAATCATTGTAATGCTACACTGTCTTTTCTTTGCCTCTAATGGCTCTTTACTGTTTATTTTAGATTTCTCCTCCTTCCAGTTTCTTGCTTTGTTTTAGAAAGGAGCTTTCACTTTTTTTTTTTTTTTTTTTTTTTTTTTTTTTTGAGATTTCTGATATTTCTGTGATCCTCTTACATTTATCTGTGGACTCTTGCATATAGCCTGTGAAACTCTCCCCCAGTTTTGATTGCTGTTCCACTCTGAATTGGATTCCTTAATTTGAGGAAGGGAGCAGGAAGTAGTACCTATGGGCAGTTTGATTTCTGGATGGTCTGGCTTTGGGACTGTCCAAAAATTTTTTTTCCTTTTTTTCTTCTTATTTCTGATACCATGTAGGTCTTGGTACTATTGGTATTTGGTCCCCTCTGCTCATATTTTGGGGTCCATGAGTAATACATAGTCATTGTATTGTATTTGTTCACCATGTTGTATTTTGATTTGGTTTGGTTTGATCTGTTTATTTAATTCTCCTAGTTGCTTTATCTTTTTGGAGGGAAGGTTATTAAAAAGTATTAAAATATTAATGTTAAGGATATTAATATTATCAAAGTGATATTAAAAAATTATGTCTCTTTCATTGCCAGGTTGCCCAGACTGCCTGTCTTCTTAAAATGTGTAATCTAAACATGATAAAAGGAAATGTTTTGTTTATTCACTCTTTTCTCAGTCTACTTAAAGATTTCTTTTATTTTAATTAAAAAACTTATTTCTAGTTGAAGGATAGCTGATATTATATTAATTTTAGGTGTACAACATAGTGATTTGACAATTGTATATATTAGGAAATGCTCACCACAATAAGTATAATTACTGTCACCATACACAATTATTGTAATACTACTGACAATATTTCCTGTGCTGTACCTTTCATTTCTGTAACTTGTTTATTTTATAACTGAAAGTTTGTACCTCTTTTTTTTTATTAAATGTTATATCTTAATGTTTATTTTTGAGAGAGAGAGAGAGAGAGAGCACGCGTGTGTGTGTGCGTGTGTGTGTGTGTGTGTGTGTGTGTGTGAGCAGGGGAAGGGCAGAGAGAGAGGGAGCCACACAATCCAAAGTAGGCTCCAGGTTCTGAGCTGTCAGCACAGAGCCTGATGCAGGGCTGAAACCCACAAACCGTGAGATTATGACCTGAGCCGAAGTTGGACGCTTAACCGATTGAGCCACCCAGGCACCCCTGAAACTTTGTACCTCTTAATCCCCTTCACTTATTTTGCCTATTCCCTCACCTTCTCCTTCTGACAACTACCATTTTGTTCTCTGTATATTTGAATCTATTTCCTTTTTTTGTTTTGTTCATTTTAAGAAAACATTTTAAATGATGGGTGGACTTGTGCCTGGACTCTGAGGAAGGCCTAGAGAAGGAGAGGCTGAAAATGCAAGAGAAAGATGAAAAACAGATGGAAATATTTGTGCTCTGGAGTGACCAGAAGGCTTGGATACCAAAGTATTGGTAGAGGGATGAACTTTGAATAGGGGAAGAGAACAGTTTGTCTGACAGAAGAGGGAAGGAGATGAGATTTTATTTTATTTAGATATGTTAGTTTGCAAAAGGTTGCAGTTAGGAAACTGAGGAATGTCACATCTGGTATTTCAATTTGCGTAGTAAACTTTATGTAAAGTTATTTGCTAAAGAAAATGAAGTAAGTATAGGGGACTTGAGGAAAGTAGTAAAGATTTAAAATGGTGATGGTGTAAAATGAGAGCAAAATCTAACCAGAGGCATGGGTGTCTTAGTGATGGTAAGGACCAACCCTGGGCTAGACCTTAAAATATAAATTTGAAAGATGCCAATTTTGTGATTTAAATATTTTTTTCAGCTTCATGTTAGCAACTGAGATGTAAGAGCTTAGAAGGTGGTTGTTTGTTTAGACCTAAGATTAGCATTTTGCAGGACAGGAGTCAGAGCTTCACACGGGAATAATGTTAAGGCATGATAAAAGAGTGGTTCAAGGGATGCACTCTGGGGTATAGACTGGGTAGGGAAGGAAATCACACCATTCAGGTGTTGATGAGCTCGTAGAAAAGAAAGGATTCAGCAGAATCCAGGTCTATTAAATTTCAGAGCTAGAGAAATTCTGTTTTATTGTAAAGACCATGTTATGGCTCTGGGATTGTAAAGCTGGGAAAAAATGTTGGAGTAAGAAAGTTCAGAAATGGTGGGAGTATGTTGTGATACGTAGCGCATTGTAGATGAGGAAGTTACCTGTGATGATGGCAAGAGTTGGGTTGAAGGGGGAAGTGTGAATCAAATAGGTAGATAAACAAGAAGATCTAACTGTAGATGGCAACAAAAAGACAGGGTTCAGGCCAGTATTGTAAGAATGGGGAATAAGGGTGGTTTGCATGAAAAAAGACAACCAGGGGCTTCTAAAGTTTGTTAGTGTTTGTTATTGGTGGTATAAATATCAGGGGTTGGGCAAAACTTGTTTTTTAAAGGGACAGACAGTAAATGTCTTATACTTTGCCAGTCACATGTTTCTGTTGCGTATTTTTATTTATCTTTTTGTTTATATAACCCTTTAAAAATGTAAAAACTGGGGCGCCTGGGTGGCGCAGTCGGTTAAGCGTCCAACTTCAGCCAGGTCACGATCTCGCGGTCCGTGAGTTCGAGCCCCGCGTCGGGCTCTGGGCTGATGGCTCAGAGCCTGGAGCCTGTTTCCGATTCTGTGTCTCCCTCTCTCTCTGCCCCTCCCCCGTTCATGCTCTGTCTCTCTCTGTCCCACAAATAAATAAACGTTGAAAAAAATTAAAAAAAAAAAAAATGTAAAAACTATTCTTTGCTCATGTGCCTTCCCAAAACAGGCCGCAACCAAAGATTATAGTTTGCTGTCCCGTGGATTATATTCTTTAAGAATTATCTGTGACCAGTTGTACTTTTTTGTGATTAACCAATGATACTTTACTTGGGAAAAGTTTGTAACTATTTTATTTACTAAGTATCTATCATTATTTGAGTGACAGTAGTTTTGGAAAGTGTAAGGAGATCATATGTATTCATTTTAAAGATACTGTTGGTAGTGTTGTTTTACACTTCTTAGTATGGTAATTACGTTTACGTTTCTGAACAAAATTTTTACTTTTTGTTGTGGTGGATTCAAGTTGAGTCAGCAGATACTGGAGTTATTTGAAGCATGTCAGCAGCAAGTAAGTGATTTAAAGAAGAAAGAACTGTGTCGAACACAGCTGCAGAGAGAAATTCAGCTCTTATTTCCACGTATGTTTTCCTATTTTGCATGCCCTTTACATATATATGTTCCTATTTAAAATTTTAAATAATACTTTATAATCTGTTCTATTTCTCTAGAAAGCAGACTTTTTTTGGTTGGGTCCTCTTTAAATGGATTTGGTACTCGGAGCAGTGATGGTGATTTATGCCTAGTTGTTAAAGAGGAACCAGTAAGTAATGAAACATTTATTTCAAGTGTTAAATTTCATATAAAAATCATTGAAGAAAAAAACTTGTTTTAATTGGTTGTTTGGATTTGCTGTTCATAGTAATTCAGGAAAACCCAGGAAATGCTTCTTTCTCTTTTAAGGCATATGCACACGCACACATAAGCATAACGGGGATTTTAGCATTAATTTATTTTTAAGTTGTTAAAGTGAGATGGCTTCACTGTGTTTTTAAAGAGCTCTACCTCTGTTTGCTTGGATTGGATATGTTGCCAAGATGCAACAGACATGAAGAGAATGTGTCAGTATTATCTTGATATAGTAAAACCTTGGATTGTGAGTAACTTGTTCTGCGAGTGTTCTGCAAGATGAACAAACATTTATTTAAAAAAAATTTTTTTTAATGTTTATTTATTTTTGAGATAGAGACACAGCATGAGTGGATGAGGGGAGAGAGAGAGAGGGAGACGCAGAATCCTAAGTGGGCTCCAGACTCTGAGCTGTCAGTAGAGAGCCCGACGCGAGGCTCAAACTCACAAGCTGTGAGATCATGACCTGAGCCAAAGTTGGACACTTAACTGACCGAGCCACCCAGGTGCCCTGATGAACAAACATTTCTAATAAATTTTAACTTGATTAACTAGTGAGGTCTTGCAATACTTGTAATATGTGACACCAAATGTCACGTGATCACAAATGAGCCAATGGTTCTTGAAATTCGCTTTGACATACAAGTGCTTTGGATTACAAGCATGTTTTTAGAATGAATTATGTTTGCAACCCAGAGTTTTACTGTACTTCCTTTCCATTTAAATTATCAATGATTCTTCTTTTAATCTTTTCTCCCCCCTTGAAAATGCTACGGGGTTTGGAGTTCTTATTTTGTGAATACAAAAAGGGATTTCACTGACATTTAAAATATTTTTTAAATATTTTGGCTTGTTTCTTTTTATTTTTGTTTAGCAACCAAATTTTGTTATTTAGTATTATGTTTGTTTGAGTTTCCTGTTAACTGATACTCTTGTGTGTCCTTAATACAACAGGAACCGGTGTTCACTAAGCTGACTTGAGGCAGTCTCTTTAATATGCTGAAGTCTCTTCTGAATTACCCAAGATTAATTTCAGTATAATTTTAATGTGCTTTAGTATATTCTGCCTCTTTAAAAATACAAAAATACCTACTGAATGGTAATATATATTTTTATTTTATTATTTCACTAATAAAATTGGCTTATAATTACTGCAAATCAGAAAGAGATTTATTCCAGGAAAGAAACTCTGACACTTTTCTATGCTTTGCAGTCATACAAAGGAAAAAAAAAACCTCTCAGAAATAATAAACATAGTGAAGAATACTAGAGTTTTAATTAAATCTCTCATGCAGTTAGACTCTTTTCAGCCATATCACACCAATCCTCCGTCTTGTTCATATGTTTATGTTGTGTTGTCAGAACTTGTCCTTAAAGCAGCTCAAATGTAGATAGGGAAATAAAACATGTTACAGAAAGTTGAAATTCTGTTTGTTTTTCTAGGAGAGGATTACTTTATGTGCATTTTTACTAAAGTAAGAAAATGACATAAGAATTTTGATATTTTTTAAATTTTGCTTTAAGTTTATAATTAGGAATTGATTTAGGAATGTTGATGTGAAAGCATAAAAGTTGACATTTTCTATTACATAATTTAGTGTATATTGAAAAGTAACTTGAAAGAAAAGTATGCTTTTTCTCTTTGTTGAGAAACATTAAGAAAATAAAACATTGAATTTAGAAGATAGTGAAAAAACACTTTATTTTTAACTTTTCAGTGTTTTTTTCAGGTCAATCAGAAGACTGAAGCACGGCATATACTCACCTTAGTCCATAAACACTTCTGTACCAGACTTTGTAAGTCTCATATGCCTCAAGTTCATATGTCATCTGACATAACTATTTAATATGTCTTAATATGTCTCTTACTTTGTTTTCTGATAAGAATTGTTTATTTTCTGGTCAGAATAGGCATAATGTGGATCCTTTTTTCCCAAATGAATTTTTTTTTAACTTGATTAAAAAGAGAACAATTCTTTATTGAGATAATCCCACTACATGCACTGGGGAATTCAAATGTATATAAGCTTCATTTCTTTTTCTCAAAAGATTATAGGCTGTTAGGGAAGCTACAGCATTAAATGAATAGCTGTAGTGTATAGTATCTGTGAAAAGCCAAGAGAGTGATACAGATAAAGTCTTATGGGTATTCATGTGAGGGAGTGAGAATTTCATCTGTTTCACAGTGACATGGAATTTATGACATCACATTTTAAAAATATCACTGAACATGAAGCCCAAGTGAATTATTCCAACAGAAAGCAAATTATTGACTTAGGCCACTGTATTATAAGATTTTATTCTTTGAATAACCTATCTAAGCAGATTTAATCCACATGTGTTAAGCCATCATAATTTATTTTAAACTTCCACAGAATATTGTAGATTGTTGAAGTCACACTCGCCACGTGATGTTGGAAAGAGATGTGTTCATTTATTCAGCCAGATAGTACTTATGTGTCAGTCTTTGAACTGGCAAATTCAAAGTCAAGTGACCTGTTACTGCCCATGAGCAAGTTATATCTGTTGTTGGGTAGAAATCAAGTGACTTATTTTAGTGGACTTAAGTTTTCACATCTGTAAAATAAAGGAGTAATTCATACCTTAAGTAGATTTTTAATAGCTGTTATTAACATCAAATACTAAAAATGGAGGGAACCTTAGAGATCATTTAATTCAAAGGTATTTTTGGTTGTTTTCATAGTTAAGGAGAATGGTGATGAGTGGATTCAGTAATTTGCCTGAGGAGTGTAGTTTGTTTTTTGGTGTCACAACCTGTACCTGGAACTTGAAACTTTTAACTCTTATTTTTCATTAAGCCTCGTTGAATTCCTGCCTACAAATTCTGTTTGAAGCTTGACATATTTTATGATTTTGGTGGTAAAAGCATTATAACGGGAAAATTTTTTAAGTCTGGTATTATGTTTTTCTTTATAACATTAGGAAACTGCTCCTTTGGGAAGAGTTGGCAGTTTCTTTTTTACATATTTCTGTATTTTCCTAATTTTCTATAATGAACATGTATTATTTTCAAAAAATATTTTTGTGCTTAATGGATTAAAAAATATGTATACATGTATTCTTCCTCTTAGGGATCATATTTATTTAAATGTATCACTATCCCATGTATCATGTTGCAGGCATTTCCACATTTGAGACTCTTTGTAAATATGATATTTATGGCTGCTATAAGATTCTGCCTTATGCTATAACAGAAATGAGCTATGCTCCTGCCAGCCTAGATATTTTTCCTGCTTATAATGCTCTGATGAATTTCTTTATAAGTATTATTAGATATTAGACCACATTTCTGAATTTTAATATAAAGCCCTCTAAATGGTATTGGAATTTTCAGTCTTAGAAGAATTTGATAATGTCCTTTCTTTGCATCTTAAAAGACTGTGTTTTCATAAACTGTTTTAGCTTAGTAAGAAACCACTTTTTAAAAATATACATTGGAACACTATGAATTTGAGAAATATTTACAGATATTCATATTTTGTCCTTCAGCTGGCTACATAGAGAGACCTCAGTTGATTCGAGCAAAAGTGCCAATTGTGAAGTTCAGGGATAAAGTCAGGTAAGTAATTATTGAATTTTCCTTTTTCAGTTATTTTAGATCATTTTTACATATTCTTTTGATGTAGATAGTTAAGTGTATGCTACAGCATAATAGCTTATCTTCATCAGTTTTTAAAACTTCCTTGATTTGTCTTGGAGATGATTTTTTAGAATAGTCTGAGCAATTCTTTATGCTTAACTGTGCTTAGTTATTTTGCTTGGTATTTTGAGTGTTTAAAACTATCCATTTTAAAGAATATATATATTTGCATTTCACATTTTTAAATTATCTCTTGCCTTTTGGAAATGTAATATACTCTTTAGAACATATCTTAATTGATGAGATTTGATGTATGTTTATATCAAGGGAGTTGTTATAATTTATCTGTACACTCTACCAGCCTGGGTTCTGAATTTCTTACGAGCATTGGGATTGGAATCTTTTATACAATATCTGAATATAAAATGTAAATAGGTGTTGACTGTTCTATTGGTTAAAAAAAATTTGTTGTTCCCTAAAAATAGATAAGATTGTGATAAATTAGGTTTTCTAGCCCAGTTTTATAAAATACTGAAATGGTTTACATAAATGTAAGTGTAAAGTGTAAATATATATACATAAGTGATCCTCATTATTCATGGATTCTTTATTTATGAATTTGCCTACATGATGATTTTTATTTTGTAACCCCCCAAATTAATATTTCTAGCACTTTCATAGTCATTTGTAGACATTTGCAAAGTGGAGAAAATTCTGAATCACTAACTGAGATTAAATAGTGTGACATTCTGCCTTCCTGTTTCTTCTCCTATGTATAAACAATTATTCTTTGCAGAGTCCATTTCCATGTTTTTTGTATTTTGTTGCTTTATATAGGTGACTTTGCTCTTTTAAATGGCCCCCAAGCATAGTGCTGAATTACTATGTATTGTTTCTGTGTACAAAGCTGTGATGTGCCTCATGGAGAAAAAACTTGTATTTGATATGCTTTGTTCATGCATGAGTTACAGTGTGTTTGGCCATGAGTTCATTATCAGTGAATGGGGTGTCTTTAAATGGAAACACATAAAACAAAGTTATGTAGGGGCGCCTGGGTGGCTCAGTCGGTTAAGTGTCTGAGTTCAGCTCAGGCCATGATTTAGTGGTTTGTGAATGTGAGTCCTGCGTTGGGCTCTGTGCTGACAGCTCAGAGCCTGGAGCCTGCTTCGGATTCTGTGTGTGTGTCTCTCTCTCTGTCCCTCCCCAGCTCATGCTCTCTCTCTCTGTCAAAAATAAATAAACATTAAAAAAATATTAAAAAAACAAACAAAACAAAGTTATGTATTAATCAGTTGATGAAAATGTTTTGACTGAAAGCTTGTGGGAACCTAACCCTTTGTTTCCACTGTTTTCATTGACTTTATAGAAAATAAATACTGCAAATGATTAGAATTGACTGAATATATATATTTTAAACAAATCCTTAGATATATGCCTGGTTCAAACCTTCTCCTCCATTCATTTAAATATCCGTCCAATCTATAAGTATTTGAATTTTTTTCAAATAACTAATGGTAGTTTTCTTTAAAAAAAAATTTTTTTTTTGATGTATGTTTATTTTTGAAGGAGAGAGAGACAGA